ATTAGCACGAGTAGCCGAATGATGTGAGTGCCCGAAAAGGGAGGTATCATGACCGCAGTTCAGACATTCGCAGTCGAACTTTCACTGATTACTTTGCACGACAGCTACTCCATACGATGCAATTCAACGATTGTTCGCATAGAGTGAACTGTGAACTGTATGGGCCTTGTCTGTTCTGCGCGTATCTTTCACTTCTCTTGGACATGTGATGAAAAAGTTTGGAGGTGAAACGGCCACGGACGTCACCTAAATCACGTTTTTACTCTGAGTGTGAGCTGACTTAACCCCGAGAAAAGTTGCTATTAGAGTTAATTTGTGATAGCGTTAAATTGAATCGAATCTGGAGTGAATAAAGAGCAACCTGTCGTGCCTTCTTGATTGCCTCTTATTCTTGGCAGGCTTAATCGATCGAAAACTAATGTTACTTAAGCGATATTAAATCGATCAGACGCTTTACAGTGCCTTCTTAATACGAACAAACTTACTCCATACAAAACACGCACTTAAACCTTGATCCCGAACAAAAAATAATTACCTGTGACGGATCATCGGGGATCGGCAGTTCGCGGATGCGAGCGATCAGTTCATCCAGTTGCGTTTTGCAATCCATAAAGCGTTCGTATTCCACCTTGACGAACGTATTGCACAGGGATGAATTGCATTTGAGTGTAAGTGAGATCGCGAGAGAAACCAAAATGCAATATTGGCGGTAAGCTCATATGTGATTCTTGGTATGTCAAACAACAATTCTCATTTTTATAGCCTTACTTATGAGTGCATTCACTACTTTTTACATAGACGATTTACCCATTACTCACTCAAAAAAGATTAGTGTATGAAGTCCGACCCGATAAGGAACCAGGGATCGGTCGTGAAGCCCTCTTCGCACGTTATCGGTCAAGTACATATTTGAGCACTCATTCAGTGAAGCCTATTGTGGTCAACACCAGCGAAATAAAACTGGCGCCATCTTCTTTGTTCTCTCTAGCTAAAATATTTCACTTAAAATATAAAATTCCCATGGTGCATAACTTTTCAGAACATATTTTTCAATGAAAGCATGAAACATTTCAGAGCAAATTGGTTTAGTTGATGAAATAACAGAACACCAATAGTTCAAGACAGCGAACTAAAAGTGTACCGGAATGACACCCATTTCAATTTCTGATAGCAATCAGCAGCTTTTGTTTTGAAGCACAGTCCCCAAGAGACATTTCACTTCCCATGTTCCATTTGGGTTTTCTACGCACAAACTAAAACCCACTCAATGGTTAACATGTGGCGAACTGCGTCAAGGATCGATATGATTTATATAAGTTTATTTAGGCCACTCATGAGTAATCACATATAATCAAATGATTTATTAACCAATGAATGCAGAATTCCGCTTTTGTAGTCGACAGATGTGCTGCATTGAGAATACTCATTTGACCAATACTATAGGCAGATCACCGATGTGGATTGCATCCATTATGGCATTATATAAGAGGACGTTCAATCAGTTGACGGTGGTGGCCAAGTGGTTGGGTCGCCAAACAGTGACCAGGATGTCCCGGGTTCGAACCGCTGCACCACTGACCGTCTCCCTATTACTGTATTACCCCAGACAGCCTTTGTGTGGCTGCAGCCCCCTTTCTGACAGTTGATTGAACATTTCTATATTCAATAAATCAAAAAGGAAGTAAGAGACACTCATTTAATCCAATTTAATCATTCAAATTAATTCAGAGACTGTGACTCTGCGTCCGTTTCATAGGTCGATTACTTGCAGAATAATGAAGAAAAAAATGATGGATACAAAAACAGAAATATTTTATTACGCCTCCCGTGCGATTGAATAGCCTTTGTGATATCACATTTTACGTGTAGTTTTCCTTTAGAGGTTTCGTCGTTTGGCGTCCATTCCGTGAAAATTAACAAAGGAGTACCGCGGGAAAAAGATGATAAAACCTGGGTAGCGTTCATAATTTACACGATAATAGATTGATCTGAGATTTTTGTTTGAAAGTAGCTGCGTTTTTCATAAAATACCTTACTAGGTATCGCAAAACTGACGGATATTCGAACATAGCTGAGCGCCATTTGCACTTCATGCACCTGCATCCATAGTCCGCAATTCAGTCATTCAGTCATGCACAAGAGATAATGAACTCGAAGGCTGAATTTGAACTCAGGACGGCTCGCTTATATGGGGTATGTTTTAACGATACGGCAACCAGTTTAAGTCGGTGCTAACCAGAATTTTGCACATTATATTCAATCACAATCAATCAGTTCGTTTAGCTCGGTAGCACCGAAGTTCGAGGAGGGGCGTCCAGAGATCGAATCCCCGAGTTGCTCGATAAATACGCATTAGTTATGAACTCTGATGGGAGCAAAAAGTTAATATACTTACCTTTGAATGCAAGTCAGACCAGATACACTGAAGAGGTAATCTGAAACATGGGCAGTTATCTCTAATCACTTATAACAAGTAATCGCCGATTGTGAAAGAAAAGTGCAGTTATTACATTTCATTATTATCAAGTAACGATTCATCAACAAATCGTATGAAATTTTTTTGCTTACCTTCATTGAATGCATCTTTTCCAGTTGACTTTCAAGCTGTAATCAAGTTATGTAAATTAAATGAATTGAATCAGTCATTTTTCTTATCAACCACTACGCATGTGACACGGGAAGCAAAACGTGAAACGTTGATAGTGAATATATTTGATTTGATGCTTTAGGAATTTTTACGAGAACACGATTTCTCCCCTCCCCCCAACTACACTCTACTTGTTGGTACTATAGTTCAAGCTGGCACAAAACACAAAAAACAAGGCCTCCGGGGAACGTTGGAGCCAAATCTACCTTTTCGTTTGTTTGACTTGCTGAGGCCAGGTCTTCTTGAGTCTGGTGGATTACAGATTGTGTCAAAAGCAATTGATTTTTGGAATTTTCGAGTTGTTGACGTAATTCATCATGTTCCTGGAATGACAAAAATAAAGTGAATCACAAACTGTGAGAAAAGCTCAAACCGGCTCGACGTCTTCACACAAATGTTTTAAAATACTAATTAGAAAGTACTTTTAAATACAACGGGAACAAATGAACGCCATGGTATTTGAAAACCAAACAAAGCGGATATATTCGTTGATGTTGATGTTTCCTTGGCGTGGAACCCAGGCACCAAGGTTCCAGCTTTGTCTTTGTGTACTGTATGTAACTGGTACTTTTGTTCTGACGGTGGCTTTAAGTAACTTCACCGAGGCTCGGTACCATTGATAGAAAATGCTAGTGCACTCTTTCTATCAGACAAAATATCTTCCCATCCCGTAACGGAATCGGTACCTCCAATTCAAAAAGCATTCCGTTTGTGAACATCGGTCCCTGTGGTCGACACTCTCTCGTGCTTCAACTTATCATTCGTAGGTGTAACCCTGTTTCATCGCTTCCACGCAATGTGATCCGATTGTGTTCCTCGTCGCTGATACGAGACTCGCCTTTCTGGCCATATAAGGAACCTTTGTCACAGCAGGCTGGTTTATTCCATGAACCCACACCAATCGATACTAATTCAGATCACAGCTTTGCCACACCCATCTTAGTTTACTGACAGTTGTCGAACAGGAGCACACATCGAATTCGAATGAAGATCCAATGAATATCCTTGAGAAAAAATTAGATGGGTTGATTGCATCCAATTGCACTTAGAACTCGGAGAGCTCATTTCTAGGCAGTTAGATAGACTTGTGCATGATTAGATCTGGTGTAGTGATCTCACGGTTCACAATTATCCATCTCACAGAGAGGATAGATTACATTTATCACTTCCTCTCCAATGACGATACCAAAACAAGCATACCAGTCCACCATGTCTGTGAAGAACTTTTCCCGCTTTACGCCACAAACGTACATTTCCAGTTCGATGGTACCATTCATATGTAGAAGGGTGGCATACCAATGGGGTTTCCGCTTGATTCACTATTCGCAGATATATTCATCGCTCAGACTGAGTGCAATGCATTTCGTAGTTGATTTAAGAACAGTTTGAAAATGAAATCAAGTTTAAGCATGCCTCACCAGGCGATCTGAGACTCCGAATGTACCAATAATGGTAGGAGATAAAAAGAACGGGATATGTTTGAAAAAAGAATCCAGAAACATGGGTTTGCACACTGTATCCATGGTCAATTAGCCGCATCTCTCTGTACACTTACTGCACACTGCAATCAAAGTGACTATTTTATGGTCAGTGAGATAAAGAACTGTAAAACGAAGACAAGATCACTGTAATCACAACGGACAGCGCGAGCCAACAACACGAAAACGAGAGAGAGGTTAGAGGGTCAATCGCCTAGACAAAACTAATATAACTAACCATTCACCTTGTTTGCATAGATCGAGTCTGAGAGTATTAATGGCTAGAGCCTCGGCAAATTTCTTTCTTTTGTGTTGTGTCGTATTGTACGTTGTGAATAGAGATATTGGCTATCTCTAACGATTATTATCTCAATGACCACAAAAAATCACTTCAACTGCGGTATGTACATGTATCAGAGGAAGCGAATAACCAAAATACATTGTACAAATCCATCTTCATGAATCGCCCATCCACATTTGTGACGGGAGAACAGCATTTTCAAATGGTTATGTGTGCGTGTAATATAAAGTGTGCAAAAGGTCACACTTTTCACCATCAGCAATTCGTAGCGGACAGTTAGTAAACTAGATCCTTCGTCGTCATGGATGCCAAAAATCTTCCTGTTTTCTTGGTAGTTTCTCGCTTGAATTTGCTAGTGAAAAATGGGGAGACATAAAAGTAAAGATTAAATCACCAAACGCACTTGATACCCACCTGAGATTTCTGTTGAATTTCTTTGTGTAGAGATTGATTCAACTGGAGCTGCTCTGCTAAATTTTGTCTTTGAGTTTCCAACTTCTTCGTGTAATGCGCTCGCATGAGCTTGTATTGTTCGGCCTGTTCCTGTTGAAGTGCCTCCATTTCACGCCGGTATTTGCCTTCCAAAGCACTTTGGAGGTGGGTGGAGATTGCTTATCAGTTATGTTTCAGACAGCATGCCGAATATCCGTATATTTATCCATAAACGCGCAGATAACAATGAACCATCTACCCACATTTCATCATGAGTACAGTCCACACACAAACATAAATACACACACACACACTGAACAGACGTAAATAGAAATGAAACATTAAATCAAATACCTGTAGTTGTGACGGTTAAAACTTGAAATTTCTCCGTGTACAATGCAAACCACAGAGAATCACACTTCAGTCTACTCCCATCTCCCCCACTGATAGATATTTTTATGAACCAAAAATAAACCAAACCAACAGGACAGAGCACATTCCTCATTCGGTTGAGTCACATTCCCCGAACACCCCCATTGGGAAGTAATGAATCCGTGACCTCATTCGGTCTAACTCACATGTACGTGGTGGACTGTTCTGCAACTGTATTCTCATTTAGCTGTTGCAATTCGCGCATAAGTCGATCCTTTTCTTTTACAAGACCGGCTATAGTGGATCTAACAGGTTCGATGAGGAAGGTGAGAGAGTAAATATTTATTAGCGGACACATTTCAAATCCACGGTCCTTCTAGTGCGCTGCGCAAAAGGTGCACAGATTTGATCGAAAAGTTTCTTTCGAGTTGAAAGGAATACATCATGGGGAGCAAGTATAACGAGCAGAAGAATGTCATACAGCAAACGAATTCAACTACTAACAAAATAGTCAGTAGGCACAACATAGAGATCACCTAACACAGGCGAACTTCATGGTCATCAGATAATGAGGGATTCAGTAGAAACTAATAGACCCTTTGAAAATAAAACATCCTCGGTGAATGTGCGCCATAAAAATGTAAATTTCAACAAATCTTCCCTGCAGTTAAACCGCGCAATCAATTCATATTGATGTTAGAAACGTGAATAAAACACTGAAATAGATTGTCCGGTTCTGTACCATTTGTGTGGAGAGTCTAGTGGTCATCGGGCAGACTTTGAGCGACTACACTTCGTTCGTGAAAAATACCGCCAATATTGTATGACCAGTAAAAATGAAGGGATGGCAACTTTTATAATGATAATAATTATTGTTTCGTTATTCCCCAAAGAACACATTGTGAACAGCAACGTGGCAAACAGGCCCGTTTCGCAACCCCNACAAATGCACGCATGATTGGAGCAGGAGCTGAACCATTAAGACTCGAATCTATCAGTCCTCGTTTGTTCTTACTGTTATTCATATCTAACGTTATGTAATGGCATGATTACGAATAACTGAAAATGAGGTTGTTCGCCACGTTTTTGTTCTCAATAATAATAATACTTATCATAATTTTTAATAT